CCAACGTCTGCCCCCAGAAATCCGCCTCATGATCTACGCCTACGTCTTCAACGACTCCCCCAACACCAGCCCCAACAACCCCAATGACACCACTACTACTACAAACACAACCATCCACTTGGTCCAAATCCGCAACAAAATCCACCACGTCCGATGCACACACCCCTCCCCACTCGACAAACACCGCCAATGCTGTCCCCAAACCATGGCCCGATGGCGCACCTCTCCCACCACGATCCCCAAACCCATCATCACCACCACTACCACCACAAACCCTCCCAAAGGAACAAATCAAGCAAAGCAACACGACACAAACAGCACCCTCTACCCGCACACGCACCCCTCCCTCCCCACCACCCTCTCTCGCAACACCACCTCCCCACTCCTAACCTGCCGAGCAATGTACCTCGAGTCCGCCCCCCTCCTCTACACCCTCACCACGATTGACACAGACGACCTCTACACCTTCCTCTCATTCATCAACACCATCTCCCCCCATCTCCGGAAATACATCAAGTCCCTCACCGTGCAATACACACCGATCTGGCAGCCCATGGCGGGCCAGGAGTATCCGTTCTCCGTGTACACGCATACGCACAATGATATGCTCTGGGGTGGGTTCTGGGATGCCGTGGCGAGGAAGTGTCCCGGGTTGGAGAGGGTCAGGTTAGGGCTGGATTTGGGGACCGTGTTTGCGGTTAATAACCTTGTAGGAGGAGGAGGTGGTGGTGGTGGTGGGGGGATGTCGGTGACCGGGGGGAATATGGTTAGTTTCGGGACCGAGGAGGAGTGGGTGAGGCCGTTGTTACAGGTACGGGGGCTGAAGGGGTTTGAGTTGGGGGTGATGGTTAGGTGTGATCGGTTGGCGAGACGGGTGTTGGAGAATGGGTTGGTGAGGGATGTGCAGGTGCTTAGGGAGAGGTTGGTCGAGGTGATGTGTCGGGAGAGGGATGATGGAGAGGAGGAGGATGTGGTGGTGGGTGAGAGGGGGAGGTTGGCTATTATGGCTGCTTGAGGGGAAGAAGTAAAGTGGTCGAGTCGAGTCTTTAAAGCGTTTTGTTGCATGATGATTATAGATACCCTTGTTTTGTTATTTGTGTGCTCAATAGAAGTCGTTAGTTAGACTGACTACTATATATACTGCATCCACTGCTACTAGTACTACCACTTCTCATATCCATGAATGAATTAGCCCTTCTATCAATCAATCTAGCTGTACATTACCATCCATCCATCCACCCATCTTATGCCCTGAATAAGAATTGAAAAGAATATGCAATTTACCAAGAAAACCCAATCAACCAACAATAACCACCAACCCATCCCAACATCCCATTAAACATACCAATCCAGACAATCATTACTCATTAACTCGGTCAGAAAGGAAAAAGAAATATAAAATATAACATCTATTCCTTTTCTTTTTTTCCAACGCTACCGTGAGCTAATGAAAATAAAGTCCTCGCTTAACTTACATCGATCGTTGCAACAAGTCAGAACACAGACCTCTCCACCAGTCTGGGGTCCGATGAAAAATATCGTAGATGATCAATCAATCAATCAACCGTGATGCTGCTCATGCTCCTGCTGTTGAAGCTGTTGCTGCAATGCCTCCGTGCTGCGTTCCACCTCGGAATCGTGCTCTTCCTCGCTGGTGGGCGATGGTGCCCGGCTGCCAACGAGAGAACGGCGACTGCGCATCTACATTGGGGTCACAATTAGTCAATGCAACAGAGTAGTAAGAATCATGCACCTACCCATGCGCGAACACCCCCAATCAATCCCAAACTGTAGCCCGTTGCAAAGTCCGGCTCGTTCCGACCGTTGCCGATTGTGCTCTCCGGACGTCCCAGAGCCTCTACCCGAGAAACATGCGCCTTGCTGCCCAGCACAGGACTGGTGACACCGCTGCGCGAGCCGCCCAGATCCACGCTGTTGCGCGCGCTCGATAGCGGGCTGTTGGGCCGGCTGTTTTGCCAGAACTGACGCAGCTCCCGACCCAATTCTTGGCCTGTCGTAGTCCAGTTAGACCGGATGCTGTCCCGGAGCTCATTCACGTGACGCTTGATCTCCAGCTCATTCTTCTTCAACCATGACACGTTCAGTTCCTGTCGTGAAGCACCACGCTTAAACTGTCGCGAAATGTACTGGTCGTAGTCGCGAACAATTCTGTATTTGAATGAGCCCCCATCCAAAGCATATCCATCGAGCAGCACAACTCACCTGGTAATAATTCCCGTTGTGCTCACACCCTCTGTCCGCTGCGTAGCCAAGAACTTTCCTTGAGCCTTGATCGGCGCATAGATATCATCTCCCTCATCCGCACCATATGGTAAATCATCATGCGCAACGTAATCAATCTGGTGGTCATCGATGAATTCCGGCGTCACGATCCAAGGGCAATTGGGAATCACTTCATCCACCCATCTGCAATGACGGATGCTTTCTGCGCGCTCGGCACCGCTCAGGACCGTCAGTCCCTTGCGCTTATGTGTTTCTTCGTCTCCGGTCACTCCGACGATCAAATGCACGTCAGGGAACGCCTTCTTCGCTTGTTCCAGCTGTCGCATGTGTCTGCACACCTCATGGTTAGCACTCTGTCCACATAAGCCAGATGGCCGATACATACCCCACATGGAACAGATCAAACACGCCGTCCGCATACACGCGCACCGGCCGTCCCGTTGGCGGAGGGTTGGTGTGATAACCGACGGGGTCCTGAAGTCCAGCACGCGCGGGAGGGCTCATCAACGGCTCCGATGTGTCTACCTGCAAGCCCGGCCGGCTCTTGCTCCGACTCTCGATATCACTGCTGGCCACGGTGGTCTCTGATGGCTCGCCCGGATCCTCCTTGCTGAGGGCCGATGGTGCGTCGGGGAGATCGCCATTGGAAGCTGGAACGTGACCTTCACTGGTGGACGCCTTGCGGGCCCGTTTGGTGGGCGGAACGGTGCCGGCAGAGGTGACATCGAGAGACGATTGCTTCTTGTGCTTGCTGGGCAAGGGAATGGCGGAGCCTGTGGACTCGTCGCCTTCCTCACCGGACGCATCGCGAGAGGAGGGTTGCAAAAGTTCTGCAGGGGATGGAATGGCGGCATTGGCGGAAAGATGTTGGGAACCGCTGCGCTTGCGTTTAGTCGAAGATTGGGGGGAGGACATGATGGCCGACCGAGGGAGCACAGCTCGACTTCTGTCAATAAAAAAAATTACACGGAAATGAAGAAGCTGAGGAGGAGGAGGAGGAGCGGCGAAAGGAGTAGGAGGATAAGAAATTAATCCGCTTGGCGACAGGTGAGACAAGAGGACAGAAAAGCAGGACGGAGAGGATGTGGAGGAGGGAAGAGGAGTACGGGAGGGCCCGGGGATGGGATCCAAAGCACAGAGGAGAAGATGAAATCCCTCAACAAACCATGGGGGGGAAAATGGTGGAGAGGGAGGAAGAGAGAGAGAAAGAGTAAGAAGAGGAAGAAGAAGAAGAGGAAGAGGAAGAGGAAGAAACTAGAGCAGGACCCTTGACAGACGGGCGATGGAGCAAGCAAAGACAAGGGGAAGAAACCGACCGAAAGTATCGCGGATCCGAAACTAGAGCGCAGACTAAAAAAGGCAAGAATCTCAAAATCTTCCCGACCGGGAATATTGATTCATGTATGGTACCTTACTCAAACTACTCAAACTCGACTGATCACCTTCGATAGAACTGACCGCTTACCAGTAAATGGGTCGCTAATGACCGCGAGAAACTGCTAATTACTGCTAGATACGTACGTTCTGCTAAAATACTGGCACTGCCCACAGTGGGGAAAGCAAGCAAGACAATTGACCGTCACGTATGGTCCTGCCCCAACCATCATCGCCTATCACGGGACTCCGGCGGGCCCTCTCATTCGCCCGGTCCTTCCAAAGTAACCATACGGTGTACCTCAATCAGGCCTTTTTTGCGAAGTACTGTACTTACTACTTAGACTACCAACTAAGTACTAGATCCATCCTACGGACTCCTCTTTCACTCCACATCTCTTGTCGCAATTGACTTCCAGATGGTGTCAAGACTCCTGCACAGCCAACGTTTCTATATGCATACGATATAATTTAGAACGAAAAAAGGAGACAAAAGATTCAACATACACGGCTCGCTTCCATCCCGGTTCCAGAAACTCCGCTGCTGAAGCAAGCATTCGACGAGTTTGCCTTACCCGACCCCGGACTTATAAAAACTGTACGTCATGCCATCATGGAATATTTCTCCCCCCGGGACGCCATACATGGTGTGCAACTCCGCTATTTCCCTCCCCTCCCTGACGTGATCGATTGGTTACAACATACCAATGTCGTGCTCAAGCCGGGACATCGCAAGGGCTGTCCCGCCGGTAATTTTCCAGGCTGCAGCTGAGGTGGACACGGCATCGCATCGTCAAGGAGCAGGGAAGACACAGACAATAAGATAGAGAAAGAAAATTGGGACAATCATGGAATATATCATGGTTCATCAACAGTGGGCGTTTTGTGCGGTATCTTGTTCATGGCATGAAACAGACGTACTCTCGTGAGGCCGGCCGCTCGCGGCTCTGCAATAAAACTGGTAAACATAAACGAAACCCTCCGACCCGATTCCCATGCATCCACCCCGCAACCAATGCCGAAATATTGAGTGACTTTGGACTTCCTTCTTGGAAAAAAAAGGTCACCTCGCGATTGGGTTCCACCGCCTCTGAAACCACTAGGCCATTTCGAAAGGGAGTAAGGCTGGAGTATGATAAATAGAAGGGGGGAGTTCGACGTGAGGAAGCCTAGCGCTTCCGAAGGGGCAAGGCAGAAAGAAGTCCACGTAAATGTAAGGAAATAGGTAAAAACGGGGCACAGTCGTAGAATCACACAAGGATGGTTTTCAAAGAACCAAAATAAGGAAAAAAAGGAAAAGGTAACAAGCGCGGCAAGGGTAGAAAAGGAAATAGGAAAAAAGAAAAGACACATCAAGGAGAAATGCAAGAGATCCATCATGACTACGAACTCGTAGGCTTTTGCGGCGTTCCAGGGGCACTGCCGGACGAACCCTCCGCGGTGGTAGACGGCGACTCCGATATCTCAGCGGCGTCCGTTCGGGGAGTGTCCTTAGACTGAGGCCCAGGAGTTCCCTCCCGTTCATTCCGAGCCGCATCAGGTGAATCACGGTGCACCTGATTGACAAGGTCCTGGTCTTCCTCAGCCTGATCAAAGAGTTCGTCATCGTTCTGCTCCGGAATCAATTCAGTGCCGTCCCCCAAGAGGATGATGCGGCCAGAGCGGACGCTGAAGCCACGCGCACGGTCGTTTTCCATGTCAAAGTCATCCGGGTTCTCCTCAAATTGATTCCGGATACCGGGGCCGCGGAACTCAGCTGCACCCCCCGTTCAGTCAGTAGGGATTGGAATTGGAGGCCGTGGGATCCTCGAGAGACTTGCCGTACTCGGGCGGAGCGCAAGGGCCGTCGCCGTTCGCCACGCGCTCAGCGATCTGGTTGTACCACTCCTCTTTGGTCCTACCGTTAAGGAGACCGATGATAACCATCGTCATGTTGTCGCAGCCAACACCACCGGTTTCACTGTTGGAGGCCAGGCAGTTGTCCATCATGTTCTCACAGATCCGATACAAGTCCTGCTTCGCGGCAATCCCACGGCGGACGAATTCCACCACTGATTGGGAGGACTGACAATCCCAGATACCTGCATTCCGAAAAGTTAGCGATCTCCGAGACCCTCGCTCCCTTAATCACCAGAGAAAGACCCACCGTCACAGGCAATTACGAGGAACTCGTCATCGTCACTGAGATCGTGCACAGTGACGTCGGGATAGGCAGTGACGATTTGCTGCTCAGGAGACAACTCGGGGCTCTTCTTGAACTCGAAGTCACCAATGGCCCGCGACAGGGCCAGGTTGCCGTTGACACGGCCAAAGTCAACGAAACCACCAGCAGCGCTGATACGAGCCTTCTCGCCTATATTGTGTCATGTCAGGATCACCAACGCAGGTCGTTAATCGAGATGTAGGGTCTGTACCTTCGTTCTGAGGCTTGTGGTCAAATGAAAGAGGCTTCGCGCGGCCTTTGACACCCAGTACAGAGCGAGAATCACCAGCATTGGCCTAGAACCATTGTCAAAAAAATGAACCGAGCCCATCGTCGTTTCCAAACCGGCCATGGCTAGAATACATACCACCCAGATCTTGTGCTTCGAGATAACGCTGACGGCTGCGGTGCAGCCAGACACTTCCTCCTCATACTTCGGGTCTAGCCGGGTCAGTCCGTTGCTACCTCGGAGGGACAGAAATCAAGAAGGAGAGGGAGAAGGCGGGTGGGAAGGTTGCCCGAACTCCGATCATAGCGCTCACGAACCTTCCAAAATAGCCCGGTCGGTAGCGAGGAAGCCATCCTTCAGGGCCTGTTCGATATCACCTTTGGCAAAGGAGTCCTGCTTCGCGACAATCTTGTGGACGTTCTCTCCGGCGAATAATGCTACTTTGTCTCCACCGTGCCCGTCATATACACCGAAGAAAGCGAGTCGTTTATCGGGGTCGGTCGGCTTTTCATCCTGGTCCGAGTACTTGGCCTGCAGGTCGAGGACGGCAGCATGGGCATCCTCCATGCTGATTCGCCAACCCTGCATGGCGGAAACACCGTATATACAGCACTCATCTTGACCTTCAGCGGAAGTCTAGATAGCACCGGAAGTGGTTAGTGAGGATGTAGGAGATTAAGGAGAGATCCGGAACACAATGGAATGGTGACAGGTCATCCGCCCGAAATCGCGTGCAGGAAATTTTCATCATCCTGTGGAGGAACCCCGCAGGGGAGGGATGATCACCACATTGCAGGCGCGACACACAAGAGGAGGAATGAAAAAGAACGCTGTAGGATATAATAATGCTGGGCAGTGAACATGTTTGACAAAAGGATACAAAAAGGGGAGAATGGGCGGGTATGGCACAGAATGGTAAATGTGGATGGTGGACAGATTAGAATGGCGTAAGATGCGTGCAGTGTGGGGGAGGATCAAAGGACCAGACAGGCAAACGCAATGCTTCAGGTTTCACTCACCTTATCGACCACGGGCTCGGACAAGGTCTGACCCATGATTTCTAGTGGATCACAATTAAACTGTTCACGCAGAGAAAAGGCCCGTTACAGACATACACACACCACCGAGGAGGGGGAGGGGAAAGAATAGAGGATGAGAAAAGGTGGAAAACCCGGCGGATTCTTTTTGGGGGGGAAGACGAGGGGAGGGGGATGGGGAGGGAAGAGGCAGCAGATCAGGTGAAAGAGAAGAGATTAGGTTGGCTTTGAGGGCAAGGGCAGAATGACTATTCGGGAGGCGGCAAGCGGGAATGGAACCAGCAGAAAAGCGTGAGCAGAACTGATGATGGGATGGTGGAGGGAGAGAGAGGGGGGGAAGAGGAAGCTAGTAGTAGTAGGGAGAGGATTTAGTAGTGTGTGTGTGTGCCTCCGGACTGCTGTGGAAGGTTAGTTAAATTCCGGACTCGGTGGTGTAATAATAATAACAGCACCTGCTACTACTAGTAATTAACTACTAATACGTAGTAGTAGTGGTAAGCGGTAGTGGGAGTGGTGTAGGTGGTAGTAGCCTGTCTGCCTACCTATCATTCGGGGGAGTGGGGAAAGCCGATTCAACGATGACGATAGCTCTGAAATTGGGTGAGAAGCAGGGTGATTGATATAACAGGCAAGATAGGTCAGACAATTGGGAATACTAAATAATGACACAAGGGACCGAGGCGAGGAACTGGTCCAAGTTAGGAGGAGATGGTGTCACAGGAAGGGGAAGAGATTTTCTGCACGATAATAAAACAGACTAATGGGCATCAGGCATTATCTGGCCATCTGTTAAGAGAGAAAGAAAATCAATCACAAGGGCGTCAGCCGCAGGCAGACAGAGAGAGACAGCAGGCTGAAGCAGGCAGAGAGCAGCGCATGTACCTCCAGGGTACCTCCACTTCGTTGGGGAGAAAGGTAAGGTACTCTCATGGTACTTCCACCGTACCATTACAACATGATCGCATGCGGCAGGCGGTAGGCCCGAAAAGGGAAGAGCCGGGGGAAAGTTTGCCAGTCGCGTGCCTTTTTCTGGATGCGGCAATTGAAAATAATCAGAAATTGAATTGAAATTGAATAATGACGAAAACTTCTTGGCGTCGGCTGACCCGAACTTTTTCACCCATCAACTCCAGCCACAATTCGAGGTACTTCCCCCTACGTCTCTAGTATCTGCTGGAAGATAATAGATGATGTGCCTACCTGTTACAGCTCCTGCATAGCATCTCTACAGCATGAAACCCCCATTTAATTCGCAGGTGAAATACAGATTATCCATTTAAAAACCGTCCGGTGGAGCTGACACTGTACGTACTAGTTAGCTCAGCTCCATGTCTACCTTCAAGCAAGAACGTCGTCCGTGCCACGTTTCCTAATGTCTTTCAATGCCTGGTTAGATTGGAAGTTGGCAAGGTACCGGGGATCTGGGTTACTAATCATATGAACTACCAAAGGACTGGCTCGTGCTAAGATAAAGGAACTCTCAAAACGCGCTACTGATGGGTTATACAGTAGATCAGACCCATGCATCTGGGTACGTGTCCATACATGCAAACTAGACCGCTCTGGTAAATACTCTCTTGCCGCCTACGTTCGACTAGAGGGCCATCTATGAGTTCTGTCTATACCTTGCTTGCTTGCCAGCCAGCCAACCAGTTGCCTACTTATTCCCCGACAGTCCGAACTCAAGCAGCTTACCTTTTAGCTCTTGCAAGGGGACTGGGGCTATTTAATTCAATTCGTGTCTATTCGGGATTTATCGAGGAACCGAGAAAACAGCATTGACCGACTTATGATGAGATACTGATAATACCCAGTAGCTTCATAGGTCCCTTGTAAGCATTCGTTGTGTAGAAAGTGAGTACATAAGCGTGGCGGTTGGAGCGTGGTCATGTGGCAGGACGAGTGTCTTTGATCTGGTAGAGTCGCACCTGCTCTTCCTCTCAACTAATTCACTACTCCATACATTCAACCCTCTTCCCTAGTGAACTGCCTTTCCCAGACCGCTCCCTAGAAGATTCCAGTAGCGATGCAATTGTGGATCATTACCATCCCACCCAAAGATCCAACTATGAAATGGTCACATCTCGCTCTGCGAGCGATCGGTATCCATCTTTCCTCTTCTAGCAAAGAGGAAAGTCTATACCACCACTACCAGTAAGTCCATTCAGGACTGACCATCGTTGCCCTGGGTATCTCCGCTTGTTCTCCCTTTCTGGGGACATTCAAGCTCGCGGCCATGCTCTTCTATGATCAACTTTGATCGATTGTTTCTCCTACCATGCAGCTGACCTGACACTAACAGTCATCAACGGCCAGAGGATGATGGCTAGATCTAGCTCTGGACTTGGAGGCAATACACCGTCAGGATGGTTGCTGCATACAAGATAAAACCTGCCATCCATGGAAGCCCCATCCACGCTCCTTCCCAGGCCATCCCTGCTCGAAATAATCCAGCTAGGAGTGGCCCAGATATCATGAGTCCAACTCCCTGTGTCAGAGTTATGGTCGTATTCAGGAGTCCAACATGCGATGACCCAACCAAAGCACTCCCGACGCTGCGCAGAGCGGCGCTGAACCCCCCTCCAAGAGCAACCAGAGCAACTCCTACAACGAACACTGCTGGATGAGATGCCACGGACATGAAGCCAAAAGCAGCCATTAACAGACATGCACAGCCTATGGCCACTCTAAGGTCTCTCTGCACCGGGGACAAATATCGGTCGAGGATCTTCGTAGCCATCGGAAGTACGAGCATCAAAGCGAAGCAATTAATGATCCCCTTGACGCATATGAGAAGGCTCGCCTTGGAGATCGTATCAGCATACCTGAAACTTGAAGTATTTGTACTATTGCCGAGATCTCATACCTCTGCTAAGCTCCATGAAAAGCGCTTGGAGACATATTGGAGCATGAAAGGAACTGCTTCAATTCCATAGCTCGAAAAGAGGAAGGCGAGGGAGATGACTAGGGCACTTGGATACTCGCCGATGAACTCATGCAGTTGAGCGAACTGTGAGCGAGCAAAGTGTACCACACTGGCCCATGTAAATGCCGATGATAGCTTCAAGTGGCCTGCCGTCTCCGGCTGGACATCATTGACGGGGTTGACTGAGGGCTCCGGTTTAGTCTCCGGCAACAAGAGAATCGTAAACAGGCTACCAAATTCGCAGGCTAGTCCGAGCATCCAAGGGACCCAGGCGTTTGATGACATCAGCCAGGCGCTTAAGGGAACAGCAAGAATCTCTGACAGCAGTATAGCTGCCGACAAGATGAAATAGGTACTTGAACTGCAGGAGCCTTGATGAGCAAAGGGGATGTGAACAGGTTTAGCAAGTTTTCAATACCGTTTCTCTACCGGGAAAACATCCGCGATGATAGTGAAAGCCACTGAGGTAGCTATCTGAGAACCGCCACCAAGAATCTGAAAGATTGGCGTAAACCAAATAGCTCGTGGGGGGATGGTCGCATGATACCAGGCTTTCACATTGGAGTTAGCCTGTCCTTCCACGTCGCAACATCAGCTTGACTTACCGATGACTCTGATTGCCATCTCTTGCAAGACACACCCAGCCAGGCTTAAAAATAAGACTGGTTTACGACCAACGCGATCTGCCATGAGTCCATATGGAAGCGCCAGAATAATGCCCGGAAGCTGGTCAAAGGTGCTCATCCAACCTTTGAGCAACGCCAGCTCACCCTGCACATCAGCAGTCTTGCAAGCCGAAGGAACCAGTGAAGGGAGAACTCCACCGGGGCTGCTATCAAAGACCTCCGGATGCAAGCGCTGGCAGATGTTCAACTCGTATATCTGGAGTTGGGGAGCAACGGAGATGTAGTTGCCGATATCGACAGTGACCGCTATGAGGCACGCAAGAAATAAGACCTGCTGGGCTCTACGCGTAACACTTTTTGGCTGCACAGGAAGTTCATTGTGCTCAGATAAGAGAGAAGTTGTCTCAGAGGGTGTTTCTGGCTGTTCGGAAGCAATGGTCATGATGAAGGAATCCCAGGCTTCAGAGAAGAGGAATGCTTCAAACTCAAGGGTCAAGAGGCTGAGGGAAGGTGTAAGAACCCCCCTCTGTCCCAGAAATGATGATAAGGATGGGCTTTGATTAGCCTCATTCCCAAATGACGCTAAAAGGAACGGCCATGGCGCTGGCCAAAGGATCCGACGCATCTTACTAGGAGCTAAATGGATCAGTCGGCGACACATGGGCGCTTCTCCGATGTCCGATAAGCGGGAACAAGGGTTTACCGCTGTTTACTGGCCCATTGTTCTGCTGACCCAATGCCAGTGATATATTAAATGGCTTGATTATTTAGCTAAACTACTGGGTACTAGATAAGCGCAGAACCGTCCAACGGTCCGAGGATCAACAAAGAAACCAAATTCAGAATCCATGGATATCACGCTCGCCGAACACTTTTCTAAACGACCTGGTCGACAGTGAAGCAAAACCATAAAACCGATATGAACATAAATACTAAGAATTGCGTTTGTCACCCCATTCACAAGAAGGCTGCGTTGTTTCTCAAGCTTCCTGCCGGCTCCCTCTGCATACTGTGCAGCTCTTCCCATTCCCGCTCCACCGCTCGGTTCAAGCTCACTCGGCGTGATTTGGAATCGAAAGGAATGGAGTAGAGTGAAGGGCTTTTTCGCGATGACTGTCCGGCACCAGCTATATCACCGTGGGTGTAAAAGCCGGTCTGATACCAAGGGCGTGAGCTCCCGCGGAGCTGCCGCTCAGTGGGCGGATCGTTCTCTTTTCCCAATTCCTGCCCTCCGTCGAACCGTTTCGGCTCATCCAAGCTTACTTCGCTGTAGAAGCGAGGCAGGGGCGCAATCGTCTCAGAGTAGTTCTGCGCCAGACTCGATTGGCTGGGCAGTTTGCCCACGGGGCGGGGTGGCCCCATGTCTGAAGATTCTTCGGACAGGCTATGTAAATAAGCCGACTGACGATGATCATCCGTGTAAATGGAGGCAGACATGGCTGTCGACCACGGCCGCTCTTGAATTGAGTTTCGATATTCCTCAATATAGTTGGAACTGGCTACTGTGTCGGCGCGACTGGCTGTGCTTCGAGCTCTTTCGAGAGCCCGGCAGCCCGATGATGCTCGACGGCCAAATTGACCTGCGAAGAGCGGGTTGGACGAATTCCGACTCTTTGCGCGGCTGTGAAGAAACGCCTCTAGTGAGTCCGCTTCAGAAATGGTCGATTCGTCAGGCTCGACTGTTCGCAGGCTCATTCGTCTGGAATAATCCCCGCTCTCTCTGGTTCGAGGTGGCGGTCGTGGAAACAGCGGCGCTAGGTTTCCTACGTCACTCTCGTCACTTCCAAACGAAGCCTGTGTATTCTGCCAGGAAAGACGGACCACGCCATGTCCTGGAGGCCCGAAACCACCGGCCCCATGTCCGGCACCACTGAGTCGGACTGGAAGCCCGGACGCCACTGTAGATATACCACTCGACCGTTTGGAATATCTACGCGATCGAGTGGTAGAATTTCGCTTCAGGGACCTCCTAGGCTGAATCGGCCGAAGGGGCTCTCGTCTCCTAGAACTAGTGGTGGTTGTTCGTCGGTGTAAGGGGGGACTGTTCTGGAAAGACAGGCGTTTCGGCTGTGGCGGTGCCTCCTCCACTGGTTTGGCCTCTTCTGGTTCGGGTCCCTTGAGAGAAGCGAAACCTCCCCAATCGAATGTAGGATCGGAGAGGGTGTTTTCTTTGCCGGCTGCGTCTGGGGCTTGCTCGTTGTTTTTCGATGGGCTCGCATGCCATAATGGTAGCTCCAGTTTTGGAGGCTCTGATGATTGTGAAGGGATCCTCAGAATCCTCGGGGGCTCGCCCTGAGCAGTTTCTTCGTAAGGCCGACTATGCGTGATACCTTCGCCGTCTGGCTGGGTTGATAGCGTTTTCTCGGCCTCCTGTCCATCCTGAGATTGCTTTGCGGCCGCTTTACGCTTGTGCCGCCAGCAGCAGAAGAGAAGCAAGGCAGTGCTTAGAAACACGAAGGGGACGACGACAGCAATAGCAATAATACCGGCCTTGCCTCCGCGAATGCTGTTATTTGCATCGGAGGCTGTAGAATTGATTGTGCCTGGCCCGCCTGTGGTCCCTTCTGACATCGCCTTGATAGTTAACTGGCGAGTGTCCTCTGCGGTACCCTCCCGGGCAGTGAGGTTGATATGATAGCTTCCCGGACTGATGTCGGAGGGAACTTGTCCGAATATAGTCTTGTTGTCACGGTTGTAGTGAAGCCAGGGAAGATCTTGCCCTAAGTCAACGTCTACCTGGACAGAATCGTTGGTCAAGACAGAGTCGTCAAGGACCAGCATGAAAAACTGCCCGATGATAGCATCGCATACATTCTGGTCGTTGCGAAAGAATTGAGTGAACTGTAGACTGACAATCAGCGTGGCTACGTCTTGATATTTATCCGTCACGGTAATCGTGACATTATTATCGGCGGCATCTGCAGGGGGCGTGCCACTCAGAGAGATGGTCTCGTCATCCAGGGACAACCAATCTGGCGAATCCACCTTAATGTCGGTCAAGTCACTCTTCGTCGTGTCATGTCCATCCAAGGTGAGATTGCTGGCAAATTGCGGACTAGTGAACTGCCGTCCTTTCGAGAGGAAGAATGTCTGCGTGCTCCGATTGAACGCCAAGATATGTGGACTGATGGTCATCTCAAAGGTCATGGTAGCCGCGCTGAACCCAGTCACATCCGAGGCTATAAGATTGAAGCTGAATGTTTGAGGTCCACTACCTGGTGTTGTACCAGAAAAGCTGAGTGATGCTGGGTCGAAAACAATCCATGAGGGTAGCGGTGCGTTGTCTGGAGATGTGCCATAGTAGGCCGTTGACGGGCGCGTGTTGGTGAACGTGTCCGGCTCAAAGGATAATGAGAAAGAGTCGCCGGTATGTAGGAGGATAGTGTCTGGGGCCGAGGTTGCTCCCATGTCTTCGAGTTGTGAGAACAGCGGCTTTCCCGGTTGCGGTCCATCATCGGTTGTTACAATTAATGTGACTTGCATGTCCACAGACTCCGAGCCATCTGAGGCCACAAGATCGAACGTCGGTGATCCTTGGTCATCTTTCTGCGGTGTTCCGGATAGCGTGCGGGTTTGGCTGTCGACTTCGAGCCATGACGGCGCGTTCGAAAGCGAGTATTGTGTGTTGTCATCGCTTCCAGAAAAGGTGCCCGGCGAGAAGACAAATTTGAATGGCTTCGATACCCGGGCTACCGGAGGTAGCTGCGCGTTAACAGGGTAGCTGGCCTGCAGACCTGCAACAACAGTCACCAGGATGCTGAGGAGAGCCAACGCAAAGAGCGCCATATCTCCTAAGCAAGTGGAACGGTCCTGGCAGGTATTCGATAGACGTTCCTATAGATCTTCCAGACGTATCATCCAAGCACAGCTTGAAGAACTAGGAGTGTATATGAAGTTCACAAGAAAGTGAGAGAGAATGAGACGACAAAGATAGAAGGTGGCAGCTGGAAGAGCAAAAGTGGCGGAAACAGCCTGCCCTTAGGGCAAAGAGTATGTCCCCAAGGGCCTCCGCGCCCAAGGGCCCATTGGGCACAGGAGAGGCGCGAAGCGTGTGGCCCCTTCTACAGAGCCATACCTGGTTATGTTTGACGTCACTGAAGTATGGGAATGGTTAGAGATGGATGGTTCGCGGCGCGCGAGTTCAAGCTCACGTTGCGAATGCACGCGCCTGCAAGGGATGGCTTGCAGGAGTCCACACAGGAGCATAGCCGGCCCAACCCCTCCCTCTCAATAGCGTTCGTATTTCCCGAAGGCTTAAGGGAGAGTATTTGACAGGCAAAGCCACCCTAGTTTTGAACAAAAAGTACCAAGGAGAAGTCTTGTGGCTCCTGTCCACCGCGTAAAGCGGAGGGGTAGGGGGATCAGGCCTATCTATCGAGGGGCCGAAGGCCATGCTTAGGCGCGACAGGGCGGGTACAGGGCCCACGCTACAGCTAAAGATCGAGAATCATCTTGATCCCGGTACGCCCTGGCGCATAATAGTCCGGGATCTGGTCACGCTCCTTGAAGCCATTGCGGACGTATAGAGATCTAGCGGGCGAGCGGGCTTTGTCGACCCATAGCTGGATCTGCTGACACCCCTCGCTCTGTAGACGAGCTCGAATATAGTTCATGAGCCGCATCGCGACACCCTGGCGGCGATGGGCTTCACCCACGCAAACTTTGTGCAGTAGGGCTATTCCCTTCTGACGAACGTAGACCGCATAGGCCAGCAAGGTTGGGCGGACATCACCCGGAGCCGATGGTGCACGGGTCACATACAGAACCCTCGTGTTGGGTTTCTTGCGCCAGAGTTCCTCACCGAAACTGAATGCCTCGTTAGCGGGGAAGGTCTTCTTCTCGACGCGTGAAATCTGGGCAAGAATCTCCAGGGCCTGGTCTCTCTTCAAGGAATGGATGTCTGAGATGGTCAGACTGGGAGTCAGATCCGCTGGCGGCATTCCGGAGAACCCCTCCAGGATCTACATTCACGATCGTTTGGAAGATGGGGGAGTTGACAGGGGAGGTTCCACAATTATCCCGGAGCACGAAGGATAATTCACTAGAGATTTCTCTTCTGATTCAGCAGATGCCCAATGTCGTGCGAAGGTCCAATGGCTCTCAATTCAGCTCGATTGCCCGAGTTGTTGAAGAGTAACTGGAAGTTTTCTAGTAGAGGAAAAACCAATCACAGATACTCCTCTGTCCCATCTAGGTATAGTGCATAATACGCTAGTCACCGCAGTACCATACTTACAATACGACGTTACACTTGAGTATTTGAGTAATATTGAGTTGAAGACCGGATAGGAATGAATACCTTCAATTAACTATTTACAATCTACAACTCCAGTCAACTTCTATCGTTAGCTTATACTCTATACTCCCCGATATACACTTTCCAGCATTCTGTCCATCGTTTCATCATCCCGTCTCTTCTCTTCTCCTCTCACTCAACCCTCACTTCCAAACAAAAGACTTTACTACATTTTCCCTCCCCGGAAATGCCCTCCCAAGCCGACGACAAACGCCAGGCCGCCCGCGAAGTTATTGACATTCTTCACGAGATTTCCACCCTTCTTGTACGTGACACCACACCCATCACCCCCTCCATCGATTTTTCCTTTCATTCTTCTGCCTGGCGTTTTCTTTCCTTTCTACTCTACTGTTATTATTGTTATCATCGAATATTCTAGCTTTTGCTATTCATCTACTTCCTATCCCCAACATGCCAGCCGGGAATAAACCAGACTTTCTGGTCTAGACTGGATTTGGTGTCATCTTATCTGACAAGACACATAATATACACACACCTGGTCAACGAATTGATTGACTGATTGATTGATTGCTTGATTGACTAACTATATCCGAACTTCCATCCAGAACACTAATTTAGACCGCACGGAGCTGTCGCTTTGTGTGTCCTTGATTGAGAATGGAGTCAATCCGGATGCTCTTGCTGTAAGTTCTTTACATATCTATCATGTGCTATATGTTTACTTTTGTTCCGGAGGGACGGAAGCTGACGCTGTCTATTAGGCGGTCATTAAGGATCTAAGAAAAGAATCTGGTGTGCCGCGCGGGTTCGCGAATGAGCAGCAGCAGCAGGGTTTGCCCGAGTGAGATAGATGGCTGTTAAAAATCTAATTTGGGGTTGTGGGATGTGTTTAGTGTGACTATTTTAGGTATCTATGGCGTTTTTCTGCTTCTTTCTGTTTGGGTTGGTTCTCCTTGTGATACCCGTTTATTCTTTGAATAGAATGGAATATGATGGATATGTTTGAGCGGTCTACTACTAATTGTGGTAATATTCGTCGTATTCATAGTCCTCGTTGGGGATGGACCGGTCTCTGGGACTTCCCACTAGTGCAGTCTTTGGTATCATTAACGTCGGCCATATGGCCATTATCAGGGTAATGGTATGAAGAGTACATGTAGCAGACAGGTGGTGCTAGGGATGAAATGGCATGTGTCGGGGAGGAGGCAAAAAAAGGAAACTCTCATAATTATTAAGCGATCACTGAACAAGCCCTACGACTTGCCAGCATTCTCGGCCTTGCTGCTGTTGTCTTTCGACGCTTCGCTGGCCGACCCAGCTTCAGCCGTGCTCTGCTCCTTGGCCTTGGCTTCCTTTTCTTTCTCATCATCACTGTCGCCAAGACTGAATGGGTCATGCTCCCCGACGGGCGAAGGGTCAACAGTCGACAGAGGCTGCCACTTGCTCGACTTGCCTGTCGCGGGGGACGTACGTCTGACGGGCTCAGAGGCATCGTAGAGGTTGTCAATTTCAGTAGGCGGTCCCTCCTGGAAAGAGACCTTGCGTCGATCAGGAGAAGGTGATGAGGATTTGAACAGGTCGGGGTTGGCGAGGGGCCGTGGGGGGCGCGGGGGAGGAGCTGCGAACGGAGGTCAGCATTCGAATGTGGATCTAGTGCAGAATTAAGGAAATTACAGGGTCAACGTACCTTCCGCATCTCTCAGTTCAAGTGAGGCAAAGTCGTCGTTCAGAATGCGATGATCGGCATCATAGCGTTCGCGATCGCCGCTTCGACGACCTAGGTCTCCGCTCCGTCTAGGTCTACCGTAGTTCTCTTCAGGCTGGCCTTGACCAGAAGGGCCGGCCTCGGGTTCACCGTCGAGACGTTTCTTCAGGTTCTGGACCCATGAGTTGACCTTCGTCTGGGTATCTAAGAATCCTTTGCGAAGGTTCTCGCGGATCACCGGGAGATCATCTATTACAGGCCAGCTGTTAGCGACCAAGATAACGTAGTAAAGATCCATATCACCGACCATCAAAAAAGCTGTATTCTTTCTCCTCCGATCCATCGCTTCCCCTTCGCGGCCGCTGCTGTGGGTACTCGTTGTCCCAGCGGGGTTGGCGCGCAGGACGGTTGTAGTGCTCGGCCAGCTGACGGGCATACATCTCATCCGCTTCTAGCTGCCTCTGCGCAGCAGTTGGGCGTGGTGGCTTCGGGGGCGGCGCATCTTGTTCGGCAGCGCTGGGATCCGTCATGCCTAAAGGGACTTGTTAGTGACCGCGCATAGCAGTACTGTCCGTCGCAATCCACACGTACTAAGCAAAGCATGGAATGACCGTTCCACGTCCCAGTTACTGGCCACCAACACTGCCTTGATCACCGATGCCTCAATAGAGGGGAATGCTTCCTTGAGAGTATTCTCGGCCTGTTGACGGGGGCTCAATGGGCGGGGTGGCTTAGGCGGGGCAGCTTCCGCAGCGCCCTGCTGAGTAGGGGCTGTTGACGGCGCTGCGGTGACACCGGTTTCCTGGGGTTCATCATCAAAATCGAGAGGGCGCGCAGTAGTCGGCGACTCGGGTTTGGGACTAAGTGGTCCAGTGGAGAGTTTATTGGGAGTCTGGCTGCGAGTGAGTGGCCGGGCATGAGGTATAAGGAGCGGGATATAGAGGACAACCTACAGTCTTGTCTTCTTCCGACATCGTGAGAGCAACTTAGGCAGCGTTGGAATATTGCAAACTTGCTGTTGCTGTCTAGAAGGTGGAGAAGAGTGCCAAGCTTTTCGCAGGCCTTGGAGGTATTTATGCGACCAGGAAATTTGCCCAACAGGCAGAAAGCAAGCTGGGGATGATGCGATTGGAGCTTCGGAGCCTCTCAGCCCCCTTCGCACTTCCGATGCCCGCGGAGTGACGTTGCGCCACGTGATGGACCCGGTGCTGAGGTAAGCACTGCTGCAGGTGCTCCAACAATATCTACTTCGTCAAAGTAGAATCTGGATCCAATTCTGGCAGTGCAAGGCTTGCGCAGCTGACACGGAAATTGCGATTTCAATATGCTTACCTGGGGTTTTCTAGCGCAATAATAGCTTGCCCCTGCTTGGAACCGGTGCTGCAAATCACCTCCTAGGTCCATTATCATTCCAAGGCCCAATCGCAATGGCTTCCGAGCTGGATCTGTCCACCAGCTTTATCCCGGCTCTATACAAGCCGGCCGCATTGCTTCCAATCGCAAGACACAAGCAGAGCTTGTTGTACCTGGTGGAAACATATCCGGTGACCATTGTCGTTGGACAAACAGGAAGTGGGAAAACGACCCAACTACCCCAGTATCTCGACCAAGCAGGATGGTGTGCAGATGGGAAGGCCATAGCCGTGACACAGGTATGATTTTCCTTCAGATCAACTCGGATGCAAAAAAGAAAAGCTAATATTTCCAAGCCACGTCGGGTGGCCGCTACCACGGTGGCCGCTAGGGTAGCTGAGGAAATGCGCTGCAAGCTCGGCGAAGAGGTGGGCTACTCAATTCGTTTTGAGGACTTGACCTCGGCTTCCACCAGGATCAAGTTCCTTACAGATGGAATGTTACTTAGGGAGGCACTCGTAGATCCTCTGCTGTCAAGGTACTCTGTAATCATGGTGGATGAAGCTCATGAGCGGTCCCTCAGTACTGATATCCTCTTGGGTATCCTGAAAAAGATCATGAAACGACGGCTGGAGCTTAGGATTGTGGTCAGTAGTGCAACCTTGCAAGCTGAAGACTTTCTGCGTTTCTTCGCTGGTGAGGAGTTTGACAGCAGTCCGGAATCCGGTAATGTTGGCGGCAAGGTGGGAAGGATCATCAGTCTAGAAGGTCGCATGTATCCGGTGGACATGCTCTTTCTCGAGAACCCTGCAGAAGACTATGTCGAACGCGCAGTCAAAACCGTGTTCGACATCCATCTTCAAGAGGCGGAAGGTGATATTTTGGTGTTCTTGACTGGCCGAGAGGAGATTGATACCACGGTGCAGATGATCGCTGAACGTGCCGCAACGCTGCATCCCAAGGCGCAGAGTATACTTCCGTTGCCCCTTTACTCTGGCCTCACAACAGACCAGCAAATGTACGTGTTTGAACCGACACCAGAAAACACCCGCAAGGTCATCGTGTCGACCAACATCGCCGAAGCATCGGTTACTATTAACGGGATTGTGTATGTCATTGACTGCGGTTTCGCCAAATTAAGAGCTTATAACCCGCAGACCGGCATAGAGACATTGACCGCAGTGCCCATATCAAAGGCAGCGGCTGTTCAGCGAGCTGGCCGAGCCGGGCGTACCAAACCTGGGAAGTGCTTCCGCCTCTACACGCAGCAGGCCTATGAGCAACTCCCCGAGGCCACCGTTCCGGAGATCCAGCGGTCAAACCTAGCACCTGTGATCATGCAGCTCAAGGCTTTGGGTATTGACAACATCGTACGATTCGACTTCCTGACTCCCCCTCCTACAGAGCTTGTTATTCGCGCATTTGAGCTGCTGTACTCTTTGGGAGCAGTTGATGACTATGCCAAACTCACAAAGCCCCATGGGATGCGCATGGCAGAGCTGGCAGTCGATCCAATGATGGCAAAGGTGCTGCTATCAGCGCCATCTTTCAACTGCTTAAGTGAGATCCTCTCTATTGCTGCCATGGTGAGTCTTCAAGGGACCGTATGGGTTCAGCATGAAGGCGACAGGAAGTCATCGGAGAGCCAGCGGAGAAAGTTCGCAGTTGAAGAGGGCGATCATCTGACGTATCTTAACGTGTACCAAGCGTTCATCACCAAAGGAAAGAAGGAGTCCAAATGGTGCCGTGACAATCTTCTGAACTTTCGATCTTTGCAGCGGGCTGTGAGCATTCGGGGCCAGTTGAAGCGATATCTTGAGCGTTTTGGGATTCAGGTCGACGAGACTCTCTCCGCTCGGTCTCGGCAAGAAGACCCAAGTGAGCTTGCGGAACAGATTCGTAGGTGTCTTACTACGGGTTATTTCGCACACGCTGCGAAGATGCAACCCGATGGTACCTTTAAGACGGTGAGCGGAGGCCTGACTCTCCATGCTCACCCGAGTTCATTGATGTTTGTATGTTGACAATACAGAGTTATCTTCTATATTTGCAGTTCTTTGCTAACTGGGTCTATACAGAATCGGAAAGCCGACTGGGTCATCTTCCATGAGATCTTACAAACCGGCGAGAAGACCTTCATCCGCGATATCACTAAGATCGAGAAGAACTACCTTCTCGAATACGCCCCGAACTACTACCAGGTCCATTGAGCTATAGGACATAGTGCGTATCTTGATGGGACTTATATGATGGTGAACCTATTAGTGATTGTGATTGACGACATGCCTGCATGTTTCATACCCGCCAGCGTTGACCTCTATAGAATGTTAGAGATGCATATATTCCTTCTTTCTGTTACCTGTCGAATTTAATAGTATCAGTAAATTCTGCTATTCCAGCGGAACACAACAATTAACAAATGCTTACAGGTGTAAAGGGTACCTGGGTGGTGAATAAACCAAGCAATCGGTCACCTGGATCATGATGCGCATCATTTCACAGTAGCCAGACGGTCCTTTCGCCGAAGAACAACAACGCTGACCCCATCTTTCTTTCTTTCTTTCTTAGTAAAAGGTCAACCATCCTTACAATCTCAGACACACTGCAGTCCACAGATTAACAATACTCTACCAGTCAGACACATAAATAAATCAGTGTCAGTCTTTTTCTTTTTCGAAATCTCTCAAGTCGAATATGTCAGGTCATCACCACCACCACGATCACGGCGGCCATTGCCACGGAGAAGACGGCCATGATCATTCCAACGACATCACCCCCGCGATTCAATCTCTCCTCTACTCTCAAATCCAGTTTGACTCGATCACTACATTAAACGGTAGGCAAAATGCGATATAAGCACCTGCTGCAAGTAATGCTGTGCATGCTAACCCGAGATCCTACCTGCAGAGGCCAGTCCCAAGTCCGGCGCGGCGATTGTCAAGAAAACATGGGCCGAAAGGCTCGACGATGAGCCGGAGCTGGAAAGCGACGCAGATGAACAGCTGTTGATGTATATTCCGTATGTTACACCCCTTAATATCGTCGTGGTTATCGACCGGATTTGCTATTTGTGATGTGGATTTTACCCCGCCAAATGCCCCTCATCTCAGCTTCTTGTCGCAAACCCAGCATTCGACAGTCTTTTACACCACAACCACCACATTATCCATGAAATAGCTGCTAATTCAAAGAATTCCAGGTTCACCGGCCAGGTTAAAGTCCACTCCCTCCTTATATACACCGCTCCCACCCCATCTGCCCCGAAGACCCTAAAGCTGTTCAAGAATCGCGACGACCTGGACTTCGGAACAGCTTCGGACCTAAAGCCCACGCAGACAGTCGAGATACCCCAACCTATGCCGGGCGCAGATGTTTTCGAGTTGCCGCTGAACCGGGCGCATTGGAACGCGACTACCTCCATCACTCTGTTCTTCGAGGATAACTGGAGCGATGGGGAAGAAGACGTCACCAAGGTCGGGTATATTGGTTTCAAGGGACAGTTTATGGCTCTAAATAGGGAGCCAATCAGTTTCTTGTATGAGGCGGCTGCAAATCCGGGTGATCATGTTGCTATTCAGGGTGTGAATGGAGTGGGGAGCAGGATTCTGTGAGCAGAAGTAATATGGATCGTATTTCCGTGTTTGTTTGAACATGGGGCGGCTATATGCTGGCCTGAAATGTATGAGGTCTGTGACAGACTGGAATGATTGATCAGAAGCTACGGAGACTGCCTTGGGTATTGAGCTGGGCTCTGTCAAGATAATGCACGCCAATCCATGTTTCGATGGTCTAGTTGCTAGCGTTCAAATAGCGAAACATATCTAACAATGCTATACTATACTTGAATTTCCTGAAACCACCAACGCCGGTAATGCTAATATCGAAAGAAAGAGATCATATGGATGGCACAGTCTTAAGCAAGAATTGCAGTCCGCTCCTCGACTTGGGCCTCTTCTTCCGCGGCATGCTCGTCCTCCTTGACCCCCTCCATGTGCTCTGGGAGCTTAGAGCTGGGCGCATTCGGCAAGACAACCGGACCCTGCGTATCCCGCTGCAAAGCCTCCAGTTCCTCTTCAACTTCATCCTCATCCTGAGTGGACAAGCGTCCAGCAAGCATCTCGCTGATTTCCTGTACAACCATCACCAACTCGTCAGCATCCAATCCAGAATAACCTTTTCAAATAACCATTGACAATAAAAGCTTACCTCTTGATAGGCTCTCGCTTCCTCCGTCTCGCCCATCAGTTTCTGCACCCCCTCAAGACCACCCATCTCCTTGTTAATGGTCTGCAGGACCTTGGTCCCTTGCTGCAAGCCGAAAAGGACATCCTTCTGAACCAGCGCAAACTCAATCTGCCCCGTAAGCTGTTCGAGCTGCTCGAGCTGTTTGTCGGTCTTATCTAGCAGCGACTCCTGGTACTTCTTGCGACGCAGGGCAAGCAAAGCGCGCTTGCGGTCATTCCTGGCGAGACATTGCTTCGCGATTTCGGTTTCGCGGTCTGTCAAGACGGTAATTCGCTTCTGATATTGGTGGAGCTTGTCTCGCTGGTTCTTGAGGTCAAGGATTGCCCTGAGCGTTAAGAGCATTAGTTTATCGGTCGGAGACGGGAAATGAGGCTCGTGACCCGTGCCGGTGGGCGCTGATGGAGGCAGCAACAGGGCGAACCCCATTGGAAAGAGGGGAAGGGTCTCACCGGTCCTGAGCAGAGATCTTATGGGTGCTGCTGTTTGTGTTTCCCATTGTCAGCGCATGTTGCTTTGTTCCCGAGGATGCTTGAGGGGAAGCAGTCAAAGGCCGGCGGTGATAGAATGATAGATAACTAGTGAGCAGTGAGTGAGTCCACCGCAGATGACGTCCGTTATCGTCCTATTGCCCCATCGGGACTAGTGTCCCATCCTCGGAAATCTGCCGGTGTTTTCAGACGATTTTGGGGCTCTCCGCCGGCGCATCAATTCTCCGGGTCTCTAAAATTGTGGGAATTCATCGCCAGCGGGGATCTTTATCACCCCCGATTATCGCATCTATAGCCCCTGCTCTGATTCAAGATGCGTCGTGGGGGCAGGCCGACGCTGAGGCAGGGCCTCGACAAGGATGTAAGTGCTGCGACTCGTTCCTCGGCTTATCTCAAAGCGATCATCGCTAAACTATTCGTACACAGATCTACCAGATCGTGCGCAAAATCATTGACGACAATGCTGAGAATGCCCAATTCCGCCTGTCGGTCTCCAGCATTTACGATACCATCAAGCGGTCCAATTCCAGCCTGAACAGGAAGCCGAAGCGCATTCTCGAAGACAGCATCGAGCGCGTGGTGGAAGTGCTGAAAGCCGACGTCCTCGGGGAAGATGAGAACGACTCCATAGACGGCGACTTTGAAGGTCTGGAGGAGCCACCGGCACCGGTATGCGACATGCGCGCCGCTTCATGGGGTACCTGCCTTCAGAAGCGGCTTAGAATCTGGCTAGCAATGAAGAGGTAGCTGACGGGAGCAGGAATCGAACAGCCTCAACAAGAGCCTGGTTGGTATGTGGAATACAACCAACAGCTCGAAGCCCTCGAAACAGAGCGAATCCAACACCGCCGAGTCAACAGCACCTCCTTCTACCTCCACGAAGAAACGGCACCATGGTGGTGAATCGCAGTCCTCCAAGCGCCGCAAGGCCGAGGCCGCAGTCGACCGTTCTCCCCCCACACATATCAGTCTGGCCGATCTGGGTGGATTGGACGATGTCGTGCAGGAGCTCGGGGATCTTGTCATCCTGCCCATGACACGCCCACAAGTCTACATGTCGTCCAATGTCCAGCCTCCTCGCGGTGTTCTGCTACATGGTCCGCCAGGTTGCGGTAAAACCATGATCGCAAACGCATTCGCCGCCGAGCTGGGCGTCCCCTTCATCTCCATATCCGCTCCATCCGTCATCTCCGGCATGTCAGGAGAGTCCGAGAAGGCTCTCCGCGAATACTTCGAAGAAGCCAAGAGAATCGCGCCCTGCTTAATATTCATTGACGAAATCGACGCTATTACCCCCAAGCGTGAAAGCGCCCAACGAGAGATGGAGAAGCGCATCGTCGCCCAACTCCTCACCTGCATGGACGACTTGGCCCTCGAAAAGACCGACGGAAAGCCCGTCATCGTCCTGGCGGCCACCAATCGTCCCGACAGCTTGGACGCAGCCCTGCGTCGCGGAGGTCGTTTCGACAAGGAAATCAACATGACCGTCCCCTCGGAGCCCGTCCGCGAGCAGATCCTGCGCGCCCTCACCCGCAAGATGCGTCTCGTCGATGACCTCGACTTCAAGACCCTTGCCAAGCGTACCCCCGGCTTCGTCGGTGCTGATCTGAACGACCTCGTTGCCACCGCCGGTGCCGCCGCCATCAAACGCTACCTCGAACTCCTCAAGTCCAACAGCGGCGAGGAAATGGAAATGGAAATCGAAGGCGAAGCCGACATCATCAGCCCTAAGGTCAAAGAACTCCGCCGCCTCATCACCCACGCTAAAGAAACGCCCATCGGCGACGAAACCCAAACTGTCCTCGTCTCCAACGCCGACTTCTTCACAGCTCTCCCTAAGATCCAACCCTCCTCCAAGCGCGAAGGCTTCGCCACTATCCCCGACACCACCTGGGCTGACATCGGTGCCCTCGGCGGCATTCGCGACGAACTGTCCACCGCCATCGTCGAACCCATCAAGAACCCCGAAATCTACGCCAACGTTGGTATCACCGCTCCCACCGGCGTCCTCCTCTGGGGTCCCCCCGGTTGCGGTAAAACGCTCCTCGCCAAAGCCGTGGCCAACGAGTCCCGCGCCAACTTCATCAGCGTCAAGGGTCCCGAACTTCTCAACAAATTCGTTGGTGAATCCGAACGCGCCGTCCGCCAGGTCTTTGTTCGCGCCCGCTCCTCCGTTCCCTGCGTCATCTTCTTCGATGAACTCGACGCTCTCGTCCCCCGTCGTGACGATACCCTCTCTGAAGCCTCCGCCCGCGTCGTTAACACCCTCCTTACTGAACTCGATGGCCTCGGCAGCAGCCGTCAAGGCCTCTACGTCATCGCGGCCACGAACCGGCCCGATATCATCGACCCGGCTATGCTGCGCCCCGGTCGTCTGGAGACCCTTCTCTTTGTTAACTTGCCCAGTCCGCTTGAACGTGTCGAGATCCTGCAGACCCTCGTCAGGAACTTGCCTATCGAGTTCAATGAGGATCTGCGCAGACTTGCCGAGGAGTGTGAGGGCTTCAGTGGTGCTGATCTGGGCAGTTTGCTTCGTCGCGCTGGTTACTCGGCTATTAAGAGACGGGACAGTATCAAGTTCGAGGACTTTGTCGCTGCCAAGGCGTTCATTCGGCCTAGTGTTACGGATTTGAAGAAGTATGAGAAGTTGAGGAGGGATTGGAGTGGTGGTGTGGTGTAAATAATAATAATTAGATTATTCAGTCAGTGTTTTTTGGTGTGTGTACATACATCGATGTACCTTCGGGATTGTTTCTTTTACTTATTATCTCTTTTGTGCTGTTTCTTCATTGTGTGCATATAGAGAAAGTGGAGGGATCCAAAAAAAGAAGTGATGAATAATGATAGATCTTTTGAGGGATATTCAAACCATGCGGCCACTGAGTAGTTACTACAACTAATTACTACTACTGGTATGAACTACAACAGCAAACAACCCAATGAAGGAGTGAATGAACTTTTGGATATCAGAAACTCTAAATTTAGTTATGCACACACCAAAACGCCTCCCATGTAAATTTGAACAGGATACACACAAGGAAGACCAATTATAATAATTACATCCATAACCGGCAGGTTCCATCCGCACCGGCACTGACACACCAGGCTTCGCGCGGGTGCCAGTCGAGATCCATGACACCGAGCTCGCCGGTGATCTTGTGGCCCTTGAGGACCTTGAGCGGCACAATGCTAGCATTGCTGAGCATGTCACCCGTGACACTGCCGTGGAAGATCTGGAGAGAGCCGTCGTCACTGGCGTCCGCGAACAGAGGGTAGCGGCCGCTAGGGTGGAACTTGACGGCACGAATGGCCTTGCGGTGGTAACGGAGGGTCTTGTAGGGGCGCTGGGAGAGTTCAAGATCGTGCCACAACAGACGGCGGTCGTAGGATCCGACAATGAGGTTGTCTCCGCCCGAAGCGGTGGAAGAGGTCGGATGGATGTCGAACGAGGAGATCCAGCGGGCACCGGGCTGGATGATCTTGACGAGCAGTTGGCGGGAGAGATCGTAGGCACGGACGGTGCGCTGGTTGGCAACGAAGAGGATGGGCTTCGAGGGGTGGAAGTGCGCGGTCTGGGGCGGGCCACCACCCTTGATGCGCCGGCTGAAGGGGTACTGAGTCAAGTGCTTGGACAGAGTGTGAATGGCAATGGCCATAGAAGCCGGGGTAGAAGAGCCCGGGCAGACGGTAACAAAGTAGTCACCACGGCGATGCCATGAGATAGACTTGGCCACGTAGCGGAGGGGAATGACGGCGCATACGCCATTGTCGGCGAGAGCGGCCGAGGGGCGCACCCACTGGGGAGGGGTGGTCTTCTTGCCTTCTTCCGAGGCCTTCGGGGCGGGCTTCGAAGCGGCGTATCCCCAGCCGGCGTCGAGAAGGTCCAGACTGGCTTGCTCAAGTTCGGGGTCGAGAATCGGGGGCACGATGAGGTAGATATCGTCACCGGCGGCGGCAGCCAAGACCACGGCATCCTTACTCGGCCTCCAGCGGACAACGTTGACAGGATCCTCTTCACCCACCTTGACGCTATACAGCTGGCGACCAGTGAGCAATTCCCAAACGCGGACAGTGCCATCGTCACCACCAGTGGCGAGCCACACACCCGTGGGGTCGACGGCAAGAGAACGAACACGGCCCTTGTGTCCCCGGAACACCGTGGCGCAGACAGACGGGAACGGCTTCAACTCTTCAGGGCTGGGCAGCTTAGGGAGCAGACTCTCCGGGTCGATGTTAAGCTTGCTGCGGCGAACTCTAGGAGCCAAGTAAAGATCCAAGCAACGTTCGAACTTCTCCTTGACAAACTCGCCGTAACCAGGGACCTTGCGGAGAGAGCCAAAGTCGGTAGGGAGAAATTCCCGATCCCGGTCTTCGGGGTCGGCTTCCTGCCAGGCCTTGCGCTCCTTGTTGTCGGGGAGATACTCCGGAGGCGGGTGATAACTCTCCTCGTAGCCTGGCGGAGGAAGCTTGGGGGCAGGGACGTGCATGGGGTGGTCTGGACGCTCGGCCTCGTCTGCCCACAGGTCATAGTTGATGAGCTCGAGGTCCTCCTCCTTCTCTTCAGACGGGGGCTTGTAAGGCAAGATGCGACCTTCGCGGATGGCCTTCACAATCTTCATGACCCGCTTGGCTTCGTGCTTCGACGGAACGAATCGACGCTTGGGTTCCGGAGCAGCACTGAGGGGCATGATTTCCTGTTTGTTACTGAACCATTCCATCAAAGGCTCGTATGGGTTGTAGCCCTCCTCGGGGATCTCGTTCATCTGCACCTTGCGCAGCAACTCCAGCTCATCCTGGCTCAGCTCCAGAGGCTTACCAGTCGAGGGATCAGTCAGACCGGTGAAGCCCTTGGGGATCTCAATGCTGTCAAGCAAAGCATCCAGAGCCTCCCCGGTGGCAGGACGCATGATCTTCTTTCCATTGATGTCGTAGCCAATGTGGGGGTATTGGTCGTAGAAAGACAACGGGATGTTACCGATCGTGTTCGCATTCTCTTCGACGTCAGAGTAATCGGAGTTGTCGTCTGGGTTGATCTCATCGTAGACATAACGGTCGTTTCCATTGGCATCCTTTTCAATGCGGAAGTTGGGTTGCTCTTCCTCGCTGGAGCTCTCGTCGTCGTTCGTAGGTACTTCCAGGTCCGTAGCTGATGTGCCGGACTTTTTCCTGAGAGGCGCCTCTCCGTCGGAGGGGATCTCATCGCTGTCCAACTCCTCTTCATCGTCATCCTCATCGGAGCTGAAGTCGTCAACCAATTCGACTTCGGAATCCTCCTCGTCGCTTGATAGGTCGTTGGCATCGTCCGAAAGCGCACCATCGATGTCGCCGACGTTCAATTCGTCGCCAGAGAACACACCGGCCTCCTCTTCGACATCTTTGGTGACAGCCTTGCGCTTCTTGGAAACCTTTGCAGCACTCATGGCGACGAAGGAACACTCCGAGTGGGCAGAAACTTGTGCAGGATCGAAGCACTGCTGGAAGGAATTCGAAGCTCGACTTTTTCGACTTTTTTTTTGCTGCCCTCGATTTGCGGAAAGACATACCGCCCACGTGACACACCGCCTCTCTTATCGATCCCCTCGCTGGCCTCAGGCACGCAACTTTATCGATAACAAGCAATCATTATGATGAAGTTTAAGATCAACTACCTTATAATCGTATTACCTTCGTGGCTCAGCTGAAAGCCGGTTCGAATCTTCGCTGGTTCTGCAGCATGATGCACCAGCAATTCTCTCTCGAATGCAGCCAACCACACTCTGTATACCCAAGCAATGCTTCCATGGGTGACGCCGCAACAGGCGTGGCGCGGGGGAAAAGACATGCGGCCTGTGATGAGTGCAGTATGTCTGACTTCTTGTCTGGCTGAAGTAGAAACTGTCTGGCGCTAATCATTTTTTCTCATGTTAGGAAGCCGCAAGCTAAAATGCTCCGGAGAGCCCACTGGCTGCACTCGCTGCGTCAAACAAAGTCTCACTTGCCACTACTCCCTACAGAAACAGATGGGACGGCCTCCCAAGAAGCGTATGCGAGAAGATGAAGATCTATCACCACCTTTTGGACTCTCAGGGAATGATCCCTGGACCAATAACTCGGAATTTGCTTCCCTTGTACCATCAACCATTGAGTCGGCCGCGACCGCCCCGTCAGACTATACGGGGCAGACCAACTTCTTTGCGGACGCAAATAGCAACGTTGACGCCGGGCAATTCCTCCTTAACAAACCAATAGATGCAGCTCCAACGACAGTCAGTCCATGGCCTGATTTCTCCAATGTCTCTTCATCAGCAGCCAATCTCTACACCCTTCCACCAGACCTATCCTTACTCCAGCAGTCCTCTGCCGGCTCGTCCCCGGACTCGGAGGAATCCGACCGCCAATGCCCTTGTTTATCATGCCTCTACCTCTGTCTCAGCCATCTGTCTTCTCTCGCCCCATTCCCGATCTCCCATCACAACCTATGCTCCCTCTACATCGCATCCAGAACCGCCCAAGCTGTCATCCGCTGCCAAATCTGTCCCCTCCGCTTCACAACAGGCATGCAGAATGTCACCTTCACTGGCACCTTATTAACCGTCATCGCCGATACTTGGCTACGTATATCCAAAGTCAACGCCGTCGACTTCGGCCGACAATCGGCACCACCGGCTTACGCCGCAGCAATTGATGCCTCCCCCAACCCCACAGAAGGCTGGAAGGATTGGCTACGGCAAACCGTGCGATTCCGTGTGCTAGGAGGGCCGTGTGATCCGGCCGGTATGCCGCCGGGTGCAGATGATGGGCCTAGCCTGCTTGGTCTTATAGAGGAAATGGAGGAGCGGCAACGACGTTGGCATCGCTCGCACCCGCTGCCTGTCGAGGAACGTCACCTTCCTATACCAAAGACGGACGGGTCCAAGGAGGAGGAATCGTGCCATGAGCGGGATGCGCTGTGTATGCGCATCATTCAGAGCGCGCGCAATGTCATTCCGAAGTTTGGTTTTGAGCCAAGTGATTATCCGGATGGTGCGGGTGCCAAGTAGACCCGGCATCGTTTATAAAGACTTTCATCGATATAAGGTGACTATATGGGTGGAGGGAGCCATATTCGCATTGAGACCGGGGTTCGATTTAACGGTGCCTAATCTTACGATTTATGATAATCATTCTATATACTCCGATCTCTATTTTGGGAGGGACTAGTCTCGTGAATTTGTGATATTACTAGCAATGTAGATAGATCTAGCGGTACGGTATGTACAAATTTGCATATTGCCGAGTCCGTTAGTTATTCCTTAGTTTTGTAGGTATTTGGTATGATATCAAAAATATAACATTGAATGGGTGGTGACGACCATGCATGCGCCCGAAGAATGACTCCCAGAATGGATGATACAGTTACAATGTCATTAGAAGAAGCAAGTAAGAATGTCAATATGGCTTAGAAATGAGGAGCCGTTACTCTTCATCATCATCGTCCACAATGTAGCGGTTCTTCTTCCGGGTTGGAGGAGTGCCTCTCTCAGGAGCCTCGGGGGAGGCTCGTTTCTGTCGCGGTCTGGCGGGTGGAAGTTCTTCCTCTTCGCCCTCAGCGTCCTCGTCTTCATCCTCCAAGACATCTTCTTCGTCGTCATCATCGACGATTTCCGGTTCTTCGTCACTGCCCACCAGGAACCCATCGTCTTCGTCGTATTCGTCTTCGCGAGTGCGTCCGCGACGGTCATATTCTTCTTCGTCATCGGTGTAGATCTCGCCCCGACGGTTTGGCCTGCGAGGCTTCTTCGCGCGAGGCCGGGTAGTCAGGAGACCGTCGTCATCTTCCAGGCCACCCACTGTGAGACCAGCACCTCCGGTGCGCTGGGTGAATCCATGACGACGGCCACGGTCCATCTCGCGGTCCTGAAGCTGCTGGCGGCGACGAGCAGCCTTCAGCTTCTCGCGCTCGGCCATTTCTGCCTGCCGCTTGGCGAGTTCGGGGTCCTCCTTGACTTCGATAACCGGCGCCGATCCGTCCAGCGTCTTCTTGCCACCACGAGCTGCTGCTGCTAGCGACTCCTGCAAACGCTGCACGGCGTCGTCAGTCTCCACGGTCGTCGGGTAGACCGTAAGTCCATGGGTGAGATGGGACGTCAACCGGAAGACCGAGGAGGCTTCTGCGGCGGCTCCCAGATAAACGTGCGAGTCTAGCTTGGTATCGTATTCTCCAGACTTGCTGAGAGGTGCCAGTGGCTTGGTCGAAATACGGTATTGCTCCTTTGGCGCGGACGCCAGCTGCAATGTCATGGAGCCATCCTCCCAGCGGATAATTCGTGCATTCGATTGCAGCAGCGACTCGTTCTGGGGGTCATGGCGCCAGCAGAGCGACGTGGCCGCTGTCGTGAACGGAGGTGGAACATAGGTCTCTGGGTTGAACTCTTCCGTTTCAACGGATAGGAAAGGGGGTACTGGCATCGTGTAGACCTAGAATGGGTAGTGGTGAGTCCGGGGTCATGCAGCAGGTGGATGCTTGTGGAACATACCTCACCGTTCGAAGTCACAGGCTCTGGCGCCCGGCTCAAGCTCATGTCCATGATATTTACCGTCTCCTCATAGTCTGCGCCTCCTTCATAGTCCATGGGCTCACCAACCCGATCATTGCGATCCACGTCATCTCCGGAATCGAGTTCTTCGTCATCGAGCGTCCGCTGGGGTCGACTGTTTGCCAGTCAATGAATGTCTCTCTAGCAACAGGGGCAATTGACCATACTCATTATCATCGCCAAACCCTCCGTCGGAAGCATCCGAGCCAAACAGATCCGCATCATCATAGCCGTTCGCGTTGTCCGCATCCGAGCCCGCGGGACTCTGACTTCGCGCCGGAGCCTCGCTGTGTTCACTTGCAGACGGACTGCCTGGTTGACCGGCACCTGTACTGCGCCCCGGACGGCGTACGACATCCTCATCTGAAGAAGACATTATGGGTGGGAAAGAGAGAGCTCCGGCGGGTGCGCGGTCAATGCCGAAGATGAAGTTGTGTTTGGTGCTAGGAACAGCTGAAGTGTTCGGGAGAAAATTGTTCTTGGATAAGGCCCTGTATGAAAAAAGAGAGACTGAGAAGAGGGTAGAATAGGAATAACACCAGGGCCAAAGTGCGATCAATGGGACTGGGCGACTCTGGGAGGAGCTGCGCGGTAGCTGTTAATTATTACTAGTTCAGACTCAATAAACTATGAGTTGAGTTAGTGAAAGTAACAGACCCCCTCGGTGGATAGAATGATCCCTTCCGGGCCCAAGAGGGACTAGCGCAGCGGGCAGGTGGACGGGCCAGACCGAATCAGTCGAATTCCAGATCGGGACATCCCCAAACTCATTCATTCATTCATTCATTCCTCCTCACTTCCTCCCCAACTCTTTCCCTGTTAACTCCGTCGTGGATTGTTCCCTCCCCCCTCCTCAATCCCCTCGGATCTCTCACTGAACTATCTCGGATTGCCTGATCGCCAGATTAGTCAGTGTTCCCGCACACGTGTATTCCCGTTCATCATGGCGACCTTCTTCCAGAGTGTGTATGTGCCTTCCCCTCCTCTTCCCCTATCATGCATCCCGTCCCTGTTGGACCCTTCACTCGCATGCGCTCTCTCTGGGTGGACAGTGCTGCAACATGCCTGGGCGCACCAAAAGAATGATGCCCCCTGAAATCAGTGGCCACGTCCACCAGTCTGTGTCCTTTGTTTCAGCGCTGCGGCTTCATCTCCTGACGCCCTCTCCTTTTCCCTTCTTCCCCCCACATCTCCGTCTGGACACCAGCCAGGACTGACTTGCGACTTGTTTCCCCCTTCCCAGCCGCCAAGGGTTTGGCAGAGGCAATAACAACAAGAACAACAACAACAACAATAACAATCCCGCAAAGATGAACAATGGAAGTCCGGCTCCGTCGCCGGCGTCCCAGATGCCTCCCGCCGGCCATGTGCCCAACTCGCCGTCCCTCACCTCGAGTCTCTCCGTGGACACCTCCACCTACGACCCCGATGCTCCCAAGTACTTCTTTCAAGAGAAATATGCCCCCCTCAATGTGAAGGGTAACTTCTTGACGTTGTGTGCCTGTCCCAAGAACGTGGAGCTGGGTGAATGGCTGGCCCATCAAAGTAAGCGGACTTGCTGCCTCTTCCGCTCGGAGAGTCCCCCGCGCTGATCGTTTTGCCCACACAGTCGTTGAACAATATCGCTTGCTCCATGGCATGCTCCAGGTTATCCAGGAGGTCAATAGCCTTACAGGACTGCCGATCTGTAACGAGAACACCTGCCCCACCATGTCGGCTGGTCGGTAAGTTGCTTTTCCCCCCGCGCTTAAGATTCGAAAACCAGTCTAACATGGGCATCGTCGGATAGCTTGACCTACACCTGGCTGGTCGACGGTCGTGCCGCCAAGATCTCGGCCCCCAAGTTCATCAACCGTGTTGAGAAATGGATTGTCAGCAAGATTCACGACCCGGTCATGTTCCCTACGGAAAAGGTTACCGGTGTACCAGACACCTTTGCGGTCAATGAAGCAGGCGGCGCCAGCGCTACTTCCGGAGAGGAATGGATTGGCAAGTCCAGCGGCTTCCCCCAGACGTTCTATAAAGACTGCCAGGGCATCATGAAGCAGATGTTCCGATGCTACGCCCACTTGTACCACGCGCACTGGCTGAACCCCTTCTGGCACATTAACAAGCATGACATCCTTAACATGTGCTTTGTCCATTTCGTCACGGTGGCCAAGTACTACAAGCTCGTCTCTGATAAGGAAATGGAGCCCATGCAACCCCTGATCGACCTGTTCATCAAGCAGCAGCGCATCCCTCCGGAGGCGCTAGCAGGTGGCCACTGGGGCCAGCAAGCCTCTAGCTGAGCTAGGGCACAGCAGAACTCCCATTATTCTTTCCCCAAGTAAGAAAGCGGTCCGGCCTGGCGTTGGAACCTTTTGATCGGATTAGACGAACCGACTCGATCCTATGATCGCGGTTTCATGGTGTCTTGACTTCTTCAGGACGCCGCGTGGATTACGTGACACAGAGTTGGCGTTAAGCATTTAGCATGCGGTGTGAATATGTTCTTCCTGTGATTTCCTGCATATCCAGTCGTGGGACCCCCCACTGACTACGCGATTCTTGTAGCCTAGATTAACCTTGTGCATCCTGGCTGGACGAGAGCATTTTGAGATTATTTACCTGGAACTAGCCTGACGTGGAGATGACACTGATCAGCCAAATTGAAGATTATGAACAATCAGCATGAAGATAACGTAGGGCCTTCCTCCGGAAAGACTAGATTTCGACTAGCATGGACACAGTCAGCGGCGCGAGGTCTCCCACGCTTTGACTGTACCCCAATAGAACTGTACCCAGTAGAGAGGGCTGACCGGACAGTTTGGTTCAAATGGCCTGCAAATGCGACATTGCGACACTCAGCGGTAGGTACGGTAGTCGGTAGCTGCTCATGTAGGAGTTCCAGTATGCGATAGGTGGACAATTCGCTGAAGCCGTATTGTACCTTTCCTGATCTCGAATCCATCACCAAGACAAAAGACCCATGGCTACAGATAAACTCCCTCCTGGTCCTGTTCCTGATCGTGATCTTGATTCCGGTCCTCATTCCCCGCAGCGGGGTTCCGCACCTCCTCCGTCCCTTCCACCGTTCCATTCTCATTTCCATTGGCACTCCTTTCACCATTCTCCCTCTCCTTTTCCGGCTCCTCCAGCTCAATCCATTTCTGTCCCCGATTTTCCACCTCAGTCTTCAGTAGCTCGATCCTCTCCAGCATAGACACTGCCACGTCCTCGTTCTCCTTGATATATGCCTCTAGTTCTTGCTTTTCGGAGTCCGTGTCGCATGATTCATTGATGAATGTCCTCAGTTCCTGGTTGGAGCGGTGGAGGTGCGCCATGGAGTTGCGGATCTCGGAGACTTTGGCGTAGAGCACAGGGAGGGGAAGCTCTTTGATGGCTTCGGCGAAGGCGGCGGGGCTGATGGGGAGGGATTCGGCGGACATGGTTGCTTGGTTGTGTCGAGGTTTGATGCGTATATGTAAGGTGGGATGGAGGGTTTTGATAGATAGAGACAAAGTAAATAGATGAAAGAAAGTGTTTCTATAGCATAGCAATCCAGAAGTTCATTCGTCTGAGAGTTCAGTTGAAGCTTATCGGACCAGGGAATGTGATCGTGTTATCTCCACGTGATGGTCCACGTGCATGAGGCTATTCGGGATGATGTTTCTTTTCTAGAACTACAATACTAGAAACTATTAATTTCTTTTCAATTACCTCAATGGAGCCGATATCGTAGGTGGCATCTGCATTGCGCCATGTTTGCAATACAGACATAACCCAGTGGACTACTAGCTCTACCAACCATCAAGTACAGTAACTATACTGTTTAGTCTCACTGCGGAACATTTCTCTCGGCAGACGGAGAAAATCCGGCTCTCTCCGCAACTCCATCGAATCCACCACCAACAATCAACAGCATCGACCATTGTGATACGGGTTCCCGGACCCCCTCATTGCAGGAGATGAGCAATGCGTTGGGTGTAGCCTGGCGCATACCATGCCCGGGGCTCCGCGCCCCCAGCTGGCTTGCCCCATCAACATCAACATCACCGCTGCGCTCCTCCGCTCCTCTTCGTCTCTCCGCCTCTATAACCACCCTCCCATGGCAACCCGATAACATTGCCGGGCGCCCCTTAAGCTCCTGGTCAAATCAATTTCCAGTTCTCTCCAGACCGACAACCGCTCCCTCCTCATCCCTCATCCTCATTCGCTCCCTCCATAACACCCACTCCCTCCGCGCCAACCACCCAACAACTCCAGACCAACCCCAAGAACAAGGCACTCATCCCCGCTCAACGCCCTTCACGACCACCGAACTCAAAACCATCTTCGGTCCACGTACCAAACTTCCCCCTGCCCTAGCAAACCGTGTCCTCGCCGTCCTCCATGGCCGCCGTCTCCTCGGCACCCTGGACCTAAACCTCCCTGCTGATATCGTCCGCTCCGTGCACCCGCGCAGTCTGGAGCTCGCACTCAAGTACCTCCGTGCGAACTACCCGGTCGACGAAGATGCCGCGATTCTGGCCCGCGTTGAGCGCGAAATGGACGAGGAGGAAGCAAGGAATGTACAGCGCTATATGCCGCAGGGTGGGGAGTATGGAGCCGATGTAAATGGGGGAGCGGGTGCGTCGCATAATCCGTCGGGAAAGAGTGTGTTGGAGGAAGTCCGGACGCAGAACGAGGCGTACTTGCTGGCCGAGCAGGAGAGGAAACGGCAGGAGTGGTTGTCCCGGGGCATGCAGCATGATGAGAGGGTTAGGCGCTCCTTCGAGAAGAATAGTCTGGCTTTGAGGAATGTGGATGAGAAGACTGCGTTGGAGATTGCGCCGAAGGGTATGTTAATGCGGTTAGAAGCATTAGGTTTATTGCTGGATGGCTGACACTGTGTGTGGGTGCAGACCGACAACTTGCGGACCCCAAGCAGCGTCCTGTTCTTGCTTGGGTGCAGAAGAATTACATGGCTGCGGAGGACTTGGACTTTGATCTGAACAAGCTCACCCTGGTGAGTCTCTCACTTCACCATCTTGCATGTGTGCCCGTTCTGATCCCACAAACAGCGTCAACGGCTTCTCCCCTCGTTTGCGTTCTTGCTCTTAACCCTGGGTCTCTGCTACGCCTACACCATGTACTACGAACCGCCCGCAACCTCCGACAGATTATGGCCCAATATTCCACGCTCAGCTGCAACTGTCGGCACCATCATCGGTATCAATATGGCCATTTTCGCGCTCTGGTGGTTCCCTCCGTGCTGGAGACTCTTCAACCGTTACCTGATCAGTATCCCTGCCAACCCTAACCCTCCCCTGAGACTCCTCGGCAACATCTTCAGCCATCAGTACCCTAAACATCTGATCTCGAATATGGTGTTTCTGTGGTTTATTGGAACCAAGTGTGCGTGATTCTCCTCTATTCTCTACTTCGAACTCTCAAAATCCAAAACTGACATAAGTAACTGCTCACAGTGCACGATGAAATCGACCGCGGAGAATTCCTATCTCTCTACATCGCCTCTGGAGTGGTCGGCTCATTCGTCACCCTCACGGCTCACTGTCTCATGGCTCAATGGACTGTCAGCGCGCTCGGCGCCAGTGGTGCCCTCTCGGGAGTCATAGCAGCTTACTGCACGTTGAATGCCAAGTACGTAACCCTTCTGTACCCCCTACTATTTCGAATTCAAGAAAAACTAACTCCCCCCAGCGAACACCTGCAATTCTTCTTCCTCCCAAAAGAATGGAAGAAGATGCTTTCCGTCCCCGGATGGTCCATCATCACCACCATGGTTGCTCTCGAAGCGATCACATTGGTTCGACGACTACGTGGTCCTCATAAACTCGATCACTGGGCTCATATGGGCGGTTACCTGACGGGTATTTCCTGGGCTTTGTGTCGGCCAAAGACGGAACGGAAACATCCTGATGGTAGTGGGAGTTGGTATCGCTGGCTGTCTTCGAAGATCTAGAACCTAACCTCACTTGGGTTTTTTTTTTTTTCTGGAAGCTGTGCTATGAGCTACTGCTAGATTGCTAGTAGCTGTGTATTTATAGTTTCGCATTTGGGAAAGTTAGATTGTATGAACTTTTTCTCTATTTAGAGAGATAAGCTATGTTGTAAATCTGGGGGACCCAGTTTAGTCAAGGGTTGTTGTCTGGCTCTTGCTCCTGTTTTCCTCTGAATGTACCCTGTTCAAGGCAAGGACAGGGGTTAGATGGACGATGCATCATCCAGATAATAGATATCCCGGTGATCACCTCAAACATTTATCCTCTGTTGCGCTGAATAACTATCTGATTTTGTTGGATGTGTGACAGGTACCCCTTTAGGTGTGGCTTTACCCATCGGTCTTGTCATTCATTCAATCCGCCGGGAAGTACCATGCCAGACTGCATACAAACGAGTAGAATGGAGATACTCTGCGGTTGTCCCCTGCTCATTAGCAAGACAGTCTGTATATAAATAAACACCTTCGTTCCTTTCCCACGCACGTACGCATAGCACCTTTCCTCTGTTCCACGCGCACATCCCACATATGGTACGAGTTCATGCAGTTGCTATATCCATACTTGTATATGCGAATTGTAGAACGCGTCAGTATGTAGGGTCTTGTTCATTTTTCCATCTTGAGGTGCCCTGGCGAAGACCCATCTCTCTCCAGACACTCGCCTAGCCCAGCGTGTCAGTGAATGGCACCTCGCTCACAACCCCCATTTTTGTTGTCACAGAGAACCTCTATCTGCTCGATATTATTTCTTCCTCAAGGAACTCTGAATCTTCACAAACCAGGCCATTCTACATCATCTTCGTTGTCGCCTCGACTCACTCGTTTTCTCTTTCAATCCACCTATCCTCAACCTTCTTTTCCTCCGGATTAATATATCACGGTCTGTTGCTTCAGAACACGCTCATCCCCTGGCACCCGGGGCGTAGTCGACACATTGCTGCTGCTTCGCGGTTGTTGTATGAACAGTCCTCAAGTGCTTCCAGATCCTGCTTGTTTTTGTCACCATGCCAGCCCAGGTCCTCATAAGCTCCGAGGTTGAGCCCCTTTCTCTGATACCGAAACTGGTGAAGAGTTGCAAAGGCGCAATATTGGATCCACAGGAGCTTAAAAATCCCACTTTTTCCCTTACTGAACTTGAAGGGTCCCACACCACAGATGAGGACTTGGATCACCTTTCGGATGTGGCTCAGACAGTCCTGATTGAACATCCTATGGACGATGTTGAGTGTTTCGAGACAACGTGGGCACGAGGCTCCATTACTTTACCTGCCGAAGAAAGCGCAGATGTCGATGAACTCTCTGATGCCGACGGATATCCGACAAGCGAATCCCCGGCTTATATTCTGACATGGTTTGGGTTGAACAAGATCGATTATCACTTGTACCTCGCTCACAACGAAAGAGGCATGGACGATAATACGAGATGCAACAGCATGTTCTTATTTGATGGCGATGAGTGCCGTCCCTGTCTTTACAGTCAGCTATCTGATCTACAGACTTATTATCCTAACGACATCGGTGAAGATAACGACCCTATTATGTTGATCAATTGCTTGCCTGTTCGTGGTAATCCTGCTGCTCCCGCTGACAAGGCCTATATCTTGGGTTTCGATTTCGACAGTGGTAATCTTTTTGTCCGTCAGTTTGCTTGGTTACCGGAATACATCGACGACGTCTGGTGCGTCTGGAATGAGGGCTTTAACCGGTACGAAGTGCAAATCAAGGCCTTGCGTGATACCCTCCGGCAGTGCATTGACGAATGTAAGCTGGATCCGGGCGTGGGTATTCTTAGCAAGGGCAAGTATGTTGTGGATAACTGGGAGGGCACGGGAGTCAGTGAGGATCCCGGCATGGAGCTGGTGATTGTCATCAACTTCTGTCTGTGGGTCGTAGATATGGCAGAGCCGCTGATCCTGCCATGTGTTCCTGGAGCCGAGTCTCTCATTGCAGATTTTCGGAGGTATGAGGAGGAGTGTCGCAGAATCTTGGCCTGCGCCTCGGCAAGATTCTGGAAGCGTGTCCAAAAGGGCTATACGGAAGAGCAAGAAAGATGCGAGAAAGCGAGGAGCCGCTACATCGATGACTTGATGACCCTTCACGTCCATGAAGCACATGAGCTTGAGAATGTTAGGGGATGTGCGCCCAGTCTGGATACTGCCAGCAAGCTTCGCCAGCAGTACCAAGATGGGCGAAGAGAATGCCACGAGCAAGGCTTGCAGGACGTGTTTACCCTGCCAACTAATGCCAGCGTCCCCAAGTCTCCAGAATCAACTTTCAGAGAAATAGTTGAGAGATCAAAACAGGCATTGGCGTCGAGCATACTGACCTCTCCTGCTCCTAAGGCTTCGCAGGCTAAGTCCCGTCACCTTGATCGGGCTCGATCACGCAGGGACTGGATTGCTACAGCATCAGGGCATAGCACTTCATCGAGTGAAGAAGATAGCTTCTCCGATGCCTCTGAGTCCCGCAAATCACCTGTTCCAGTGCTCTTGAGGCGGATGTCTGACCTTTCACAGGCACATCCAGAGCTTGACAATGTCAGTATCCGAGAACAGTTGGAGACGATTCTCTCTGAGATGAAACTGACTACGGGGTAAGACCCTGTGGAGAAAGGGGATGCAGCTGAGGATCTTGGCCTGGGGAAGAGAAAGTTGGAGTTCGCTTGCTGGTAGAGGACATTATTCCCAGTCCAGACTTTGATTAACATGGTGGAATTGAATGAAGGGCGTTCTATGGAGTGCATTGGAAGTGAAGTACTCTGGATGTTTTGAGTCCGGACCATGTCTAAATGCGGATGTTTGGTGTCACTTTGAACATGACCATCTGGCGGGCCATTCTAGCGCTCTGTTGGTGAAGTCTATTACCACTTATTTGTATCCTTTGAGGTCAATTGATGGATAATTTTTTCACATCGTTTTCTCGCAGGATGAAGATGTCTTTACTCTTTTCTTAAAAAGTTCTATCACATGCAAACATTACATGACATCTTTCAGGTGGTTGACTGGTAGCAAGTGTCTCTTAGGATCAGTAAGTGTCATCATCTCCAGTTCAAGTCATAGGCTGCGAGGCTGCGAGATCGTACGGACTTTCAAAGCAAAGACGATTCTAAAGTATGTGCAACAGGGCCATGCAGCTAGCGAGGTCCGATGAAAGTGATACTTGTCAATGTAGAAGTAAAGTTATGAGAACCATGAAGCATGATGGGCGGGGACTTCCATTTCATTGGCATTATATGTACGAGTAATCTCACAGCCTCGCAGTTCTGGTGGAACAGACGGAGCACAGCATCATGTGGATGCATGTATCTTGATGACCTGCATCGGGAAGGCACGGTACTGACAATGCCATACATACATGTCATACATACCTATTATCAATTGGATGTCACATAATATCTAGCCACAAAGTGGTCACAGCGGGCTGGATAAGTAATTGCCTAAAACTAGAGACAGACAGACTTGTTTTGTAACGAACAAACACGTTGGAATTAAACTGAATCATTACGATCCACCGCCAAGGCCACCCATTTTAGTGTTCCAGTTAGGCAGCCACAGCGATGCTGCACCGCCGCCCACCAATCGGGGTTAGCCGCAAAGCCAGTGTGGCTTGAGAGTGGCTCTGCAGTGGGACAGCCGGTCATCGATCGCCCCACCGGGTATGCCGGCAGGTGGTTATTGGCCCAGATGGGAAGGTTAAGCGCCCCGCTATCTCTGGGCAGTCATCACCAGCTCTCCGCTCCTGTCCAATCAAGTGACAGCTCATAAGATGAGCCAAGGAAACAAACGATCAGCGGTAATCCTCGACGCGATTTGGGGATTATAATTTCAGGGAGAACGGTGTACTTACTACTTACTACCGTGTACCATTTAGCCGACATCCATGGTAGTGCCTGACCCAGCTTCGTAAGGTATCCATCTACTCCTCCTTCTCCTCCCTAATGGGCCCTATAGATAGTTATCTAACTTACTGTTCATCCCTACCCGGTCTTGGTCGGAGAGCCAAGCTGAGCCCCTGAGAAACTGCTGCCAAGATCGCTAATCTGTCGGAGAATTGGTGGTCCGCGCAGCCTGCCAGGAGTCCGCATTAGAAATCTTTCTTATGAAGAGTCCACGGTGATTGGAGGAGTAAGATCTACTGTGCATTTCAATTTTTGGCGAGGGTCCCCTTGAGGGCACAAAGTGCCACTGCCTACTACTAAGTACTTACTAGATAGGTACCCGTCACTAAATAGTCCGCCCCCGTGTAACTTCACCCTGCGCTCTCCAGGTACATGCAGGCAAACCCAAGCCAGCCTTGTGCCCCCGTCCTTCCCTTCCATTCATCCCACCCACCTTCCACTCTCGCTCTCTCTCTTTTTCCGTCGTTCTCTCAATCCCCTTCTCAGCCCTGCAGCCCTACTCCCTTCTACTCCCGACCTGTACATGGTTCGATCCCGTTCATCGTGCGACCGTCGCTTGACTCGCTTCCATATTGCTGGGGCCTGCCATACGAGATCTCAACCATTCTTTCTCTCTCTCTCTTTCTTTTTTACTCTTGGCCCCCTCGCCTAGCTGCATCTTATTTTGCTTTCCTGTCACGGTGGGCTGAAAGTCAACTGGCAGTTCCTCGGCCCTTAAAAACAAGCATTGGCTGTATCCCGTCGTTCCTTCCTTAACTTGACTTTCAGGATCACTCCTTCCTTCCCATTCCAAACATCTCACTCAACCCGCGCCCTGCCCTTCCTTCCTTCCTTTATTCATTCTTGTCCTCTTGGCTGTTTTCTTGATACCCTATACCTGTCTTTTTTTTTTTCCTCTTTTGCAAATAATCACTACTACTTCCATATCGCCTGCCATTCCCTGTTCTGCTCCATTCCCGATAATTCCGGTATTTTTGGTATTCTACATCTACTCTAACTTCAACCTCAAATAACTACTCCTACTACTACTACGAATAAAATCCCTTCGGCATGGCTCTTCCCGGTAAGCTACTGTCTTTCAATCACTTGACACTTCCATCCAGGCTTCATTGCCTACGATACTCGGGATCTTGTAACTGACATCACCAGCCCATGCCCCTGTCGCGGCCATGAATGGCCATGCGTCCGACCTCAATGCCCAGGTGGACGTAATATGCGGCCCTTTGATTAATTTCAAGAACATGGATGTCAATCCCTCTTCGTCCATTTGGCGTGGAAGTGTCTTGATTGTTACTAAACCGGGTCAGAGCCAGCCACGGCTGCTTTTACGCCAGGCTGGCCCCATTGGGGCCAGTCACGCCGGCAATGGTGCTCGTGCGGGCGACTCTGCTGTGACCGTGGATGGTGTCCGTCTGTACGAGGATCCCCAGAAGGCATTCTGGCGTTTCTCCCTCTCTTTCGCTCTGGAATCCTATGAAGCGCGCTGGGAGTACGCAATTCCGGGATTTACTTATGCGGAGGGCGAAGAAGCACCTTCGTCATGGGACTTCGCGGTTCCTTCTGTAAACCAGTCAATGCGTATGATGTTCCACTCGTGCAATGGCTTCTCCGTTGGTACGGACATGAACGCATGGGTTGGGCCTAACCTCTGGAATGATGTCTTGCGCGTGCACGCGCAGAAACCCTTCCATGTCATGATCGGTGGTGGCGATCAACTCTACAACGATGGAATCCGTGTGGACGGACCACTTAAGGAATGGACTTCCATCTCCAATCCTCATACAAGACGCGCCCACAACTTCGACAACAACCTGCGCGCCAGGTGTGACGAGTACTATTATGCAAACTATGTCCGGTGGTACTCTACTCAGCCATTCAAGGGTGCAAACGGGCGGATCCCACAAATCAATATCTGGGACGACCATGATATCATCGACGGCTTCGGCTCGTACACCGACCATTTCATGCGCTGCTCCGTCTTTCGAGGCATTGGCGGCGTTGCCTTCAAGTATTACTGCCTCTTCCAGCATCACATCGCTCCACCAAAGTCGACCTACACTACCGATGCCCCGCAGACTATGCACGCCGTCAACGGCACCGCCGGCGCGGATCCACGACAGCTTGAGAACACTTTTGTTCTGGACGAACAGCAGGAAGATGACAGCTGGATCATCGGTAAACGTCCAGGACCTTACGTGGAGGAAAGGAGCAGGAATCTGTACATGCGCCTCGGCAAGCGGATTGCCTTCATTGGCGTTGATGCGCGCACCGAGCGCACTCGTCACCAGGTGAACTACCCAGACACGTACGATCTTATTTTCTCTCGGCTTCAGAGCGAAGTGTCAGCAGCAAATGGAGACATCAAACACCTGGTCGTGCTTCTGGGTGTCCCGATTGCTTATCCCCGTCTTGCATGGCTGGAGAACATCCTGAGTTCGCCCATCATTGCCCCGATTCGTCTGCTGAACAAGCGGTTTGGTTTCGCAGGAGGTCTGTTCAATCAGTTTGATGGCCAGGTGGATCTGTTGGACGACCTAGACGATCATTACACAGCCCGGCAACACAAGAAAGAACGACGCATCTTCATTCAGCGTCTACAGGACTTTGCCAAGGCCCATTCAGTACGGGTGACAATTCTGGGTGGTGATGTGCATTTGGCGGCCATCGGAAGGTTCTATTCGAATCCCAGTCTTCGCATCCACAGCGAACACGACCCGCGGTACATGGTCAATGTCATTAGCAGTGCGATCACCAATAAGCCTCCGCCCAAGGCCGTCGCAAATCTCCTCGCGCGGCGAAACAAACTCCATCACATGGATTCGCACACTGATGAAACGCTAATGGACTTCTTTGACCGCCAGCCCGGTGGGCAAGAGAAGAGCGCCTCCTGGAATAAAGTAACGATGCCATCGCGAAACTATGCCTGTATCACCGAGATTGAGACGCCCGAGTCTAATGGCAATGCCGCAACGGCTCAGGACGACATTGCCTCGTTCCCCATTGCCGTGGACGGACACTCTCCCCTCCACAAGGGCGAGAAAAATGCCGGCTCGACTCACCCTGCCGCCGATGGGTTCAGTAGCAGCAGCGACATGTGGGGAGGTCTGGACGTGGCCATCCGGGTGGAAATCAACCCCCAAGATCGGGCCGCAGCAACTGAAGGCTATGCATTCAGCAGTAAGTTCCATGTATGCCGTTTTTCTGGCGTTCGTTCACTGACTCGCGGCACAGTTCCCACGTTGGCTTATGTGCCATCCGAAGCTGACTCTCGGCCCACTTCCCGGGCTCGTTCCCTGCGCCCTCGATCCCTTCGTCCTCCATCTCGCCAGTCAGGGCGCCGTCCCCAAAGTGCAGTCTAATGGTGGACAGACCACTGATTGAGACAGCTGTCTATACCTATGCCGCCCGTTTGGTGCATGAACTTTAGGTGAGGTTCAGTCCGCGTTAGTAGTTGTGCTTCGATTGCAGTATCGTGTTGTGTTCATGTATGATATATCCATTTGCGTGTCATATATTTTCTATTGTTTGAGTACGTAATGCAGTTATCCCATTCTTTCTTCTGAATGCTTCAACTTTTTTTCCTGTCTCTTCAAGCCGTCAAGCAACGTCTATGATTGGTACTTGTCAGGCTTTATCGTTGGCTTTTCACCTTAGCATACTGCTTAGTGTTCTCACCGATTTCATGTACAATGCTACAGGATATTGCCAAGCACTCAAGCTGCGGATAACACCGTCATATTCAGGCTGAGAAATTGACATGTTTGGAATCGCATTCTTCCTTCCTGGCGTATCAGGTCCGGGAATGTGTTGAACAAAAGCGGGTAATTCAATGATTCTGTATCTTCAGGATAACAGTTGAACGGCTACACGTGTTCCTCATGATAGAGTATATTTGGATTGGTGGCGCCACTGAGAGTGATTGCGGACTCTGTCTCCATTTGTGCGACTTGTCAGATCTGTCCAAGTCCACACATCTGGGCCATTTCCACTAACCTGCCAGGATCTATGTCTGCTGCCTTCTATATATTGCATCCACATGCAATGAAGGCCTGGTTCCGCATCGGTTGACCTATTCTGACTGGTGTTCAATGGTTTTTTGATATGCTTGCTCCGAGGCAGCGCACCATGCTGACGCATGTCTCGGTCGCTATGCAAGGGCGCTCAGCCAGAGTGCCGAAACACGATTACCGCCTCCCACCGATAACTTACCAATCTCAACAAGATGTGCGTTTATGGCCTGTTGTGTTACCTA